AAGATAGATAGATAGATAGATAGATAGATAGATAGATAGATAGATAGATAGATAGATAAATGATAGATGATTGACAGATATAGGTGGTAAAGACAAGTCCACTGTTTGTTTTTCAGGCATAAATAAATTTACTAAGAAGCTTCGAAATCCTTATTCTATCGACAATAATGAGCTACTAGACTTCCTCTCCAGGGTGCCCTCGGATGTTCAAAAGGTATGTGATGAATGTTCACCACCAACAGGGGCACCAGCGATGAGGTCTGTCCAGCCCTACAGTGTTGGAGGGGCATATGGCTATGCTTGTGTAATTGAGATAAGGAATCAGAAAATCCCTAAAGAGCCCTGGTTTGTAGGAAGGTGGCAAAAGAAAAGAAAAATCCTTTGTCTAAAGCATATCAGAGCTAAGGAAAATGATCCTGAAAAAAGAGCCACTTAGGAGTGAATCTGGAACTCATACTGAGAAACTACAGTGCTGCAGTGTTTGTCCTGATTGATTGATTTCCTCCCCAAAGAGAGGTGGATGAGCTCTGCAAGTGGAGTTGGATGGGATAAGGCTGAGAGCATGTTGCTTATTTTCTTCCTCCTCTGGATGGCAGGCAGGCAGGCATTTGAGGGGAAGTAGGCGACAAGAGACAAGAGGATTATTCTTGTTATTACTTTTCCCCCAATTATCTCTTCAGCCTCCCTTCTATTCTCTGTCTTCTAAAGACTTAAGAGTGCTGAGGGCAAAGCCCCTACTTACTCTAATACACACAGAGGAAGAGATGGCAGGATATCACTTTAGATCAATCACAAGTATTATTCGTAGGTAATGCTCACTTAGTCCAGCAGTGTCTCAATTTTGTGGATGCACAGAGATTAAGAAAAGCAACAATACAAAAAAGTCCCAAAGAATAGCCCCATCTGGGGTCCTGCCTGCTATAACACCAGAGGAAGGAGGACAGGCAGTGATTTCTCTAATGGAGAAGAGTGACCACTAAAGAGGTAAAGGGGGACACTATGGCATGAAGCATCATCAAGATGATCAAAGCCACAGTGCTTTATTATCTGAGCGAACCCCAAATCAAGTATCGATTCTCCTCCCTGGGCCTCTGTAGTATAATTGGTTTCCCAGCGTCTCCCAGTAGATCATAGAGGCATGAGGCTTAAGGTCTCAGAGTCTCTATCCCCTTTATTCCACATTCTAGAGATTAAAATGGACCCCATTTAGCCTTCCTTCACTTCATGATATAATTGCCTGTTAAAATACATTCTAAAAAGATAAATTTACTCTTTTGCATTTGCATGACATAATTAAAAATAATAACCTGGCCTCTGTTTGTTTTGTATTGAAGATTGACAGCTGTGGCATCTTCTCTTCCCCTGGGAGACTTTCACAAAACACTAGAAGGAAAGGGTTTTCTTTTCTTTGTCATTTATCTGATTTTGGCAAAGTATAGCCTAACTTGTCACTGGGTATAACATCCTTGGGGAATTTGGTACAAATGCTAAAAATAGCAAGCATATGTGGCCTGTAATACAATAGTTTAAATAAATGCATTCCACTGTAAGCCTATCAAAGCCACACACTAAAGCAATATGTTTGCAATGTACCATCACTTGAGTTGAAGTGTGAGTTCACACTGTATCCTTGAATAGAAATTTCCATCAACCACCCTCCACCCAATGACTAGTCTATGTATTAGCCCTCAGAGGGTTCATGAAGGAGTAGATGGCATAAATAGAGATAAAGGAAACCATTTGATGGTTTCTACCACTCACAAGCAAGGGACTCCATGTCCCACCAAGGGTGTTTTCTAATGACAAAATGACAGTTTGCCCCTGGGGACTCCTTGAGTGCTCATATTTATCACAGATGTTTGAGCCATCATACTGTAAATGAAATTAATTTTAAGTGAAGTCTGTATAAGGTTGGAGACTAATATCAGTTTCAGTATTTTCCCCCTCTTAGGTAAAATAAATATCTGCAAGTGGCTGAAATTTTCTCCCAAGATTTTAGATACCTTTAAATGAATAATACTCAGTAATTCTCAACATTCCCAAGAGGTAGTTATTAAGTTTATTTCTGGTTGAAAACTGGCACATGCAAAACTGAGATCCTATAGCAGTGGCAAGAGCAGGTAGAAACCATGTATCTTATTAGAAAAATCTGCTTTTAATATTTTGGTTTCAAGAAATGATGCATGACTTCTCAAATCCTTCCTGCAATTAATCCCCCCATGTTCCTGTGTTTAGAGAATGATTCATTACCTTTGAACCTTCCTTCCTTTGCCTTACTCTGTCCTTGGGGAGCCATTAACACACTCTGTGGTGAGCTAGGGTTACCTAACAGCCAGCATCAAGTCTGTTTGTTTTCACAGGTGCAGTATGCAGAGCTGAAACTCAGTGGCAGCCACAGCCCCCTTCGAAAGAAGCGCAGCACTCTCTAGGGTACACATTCACTGAGGACGCCAGCACCTGCTGTTGTGCAGATGATCGGACCTCTCCTGTGCCTGCCCCACTGGTACAGAGGTGTCCTGACATGGGCGCTGTGTGCTCCCTGTGATCTCTCCCTTCTTGTGCACAGATGTGCACACACCTGCATACACATTCCCATGTATGGGTAGCCCAGATGCCAAGACAGTCAACTCAACAAAAGGCACCAAGCCTGGAATCATGAGGACCTCTCATCTGTTCTCAAGAAGGACATGAAACAGTGTCCATGTGGATGAACACTGTCCTTGAAAACAACCAGGAGGCCACTTGGTGCCAGAATGACTCTGAACTTATTTCAATACCTCCAGAAGATTCTCATTAAGATTCAGTTATTTCCAGCTGTGCCTGGTGCCTCACACATGTAATTCCAGCACCAAAAAGGTCAAGGCAGGACAGTCACAAGTTTGAGGTCAGTCCTGGCTTCATTAGCTATATGAGGCCAGCCTCAGCTACATAAAGACCATCTCTCAAAAACTAAGTAAACAACAGAGACTCAGTTATCTCCTCTCCAGATCCCCCAACTTATTTCTTCAGATTATTGTCAAATAAGCTGCTTTAGTGTTTGCTGGCTACATCTATCCAGATAACTTACATTAGAGAAGAATTTTAAATGATTTCCAATATTAATCCAAATTTTTAGGAGTCTTTCAGCTGTGATTACTAAGGGCATGTCTAAGTTTTTTGTTGACCCATTGGTGTTGCATGCCAGGCTGCCTCACATAGTGATTTCATTGCTGAAAATGCTGTGTCTTCTAACTTTACTTCTTGCTTATTACCAAAACAAGCTGTCAATATCTAGCCTCAGAGAGGCAGTGGGGAGAAATGAGGGAAATGAGTGAGTCTTTAGAAAGGAACAAGTATGAAGGAGACTAATAAACACCATAATCATTTACTTGCCCAGTGTTTTAAGATGGAAGTAGGAAATATTTTGGCTGTCCAAATATGTCTTTTGTTTCTCTAGAGGTCAAAATGAGCTATAAACCACAAAAAACTAGTGTAAGAACCCTGTTCTAGAAAGTCCCACCATAAAGACCTCTTTGAATGGTACCTAAATCCTATACATCCCAGGACTCCACAGTACACTCTGCCAAGTTTAAGAAAACCTTGGTTTTGTGTCTATAGATAGTGTATCTAAATATCTTTATGTTCGAATGATATTTATGCTTTAAAGTCTGTATTTTATTGACACGTGCTTCATATATGCAGGTTTGTATTTGTGTTATGAAGAAAAGTTGAGGTAAATTGTCCAAATTTAATAGTGAGTTTACTGTTTCTTTTTGTCTCCGAGTTGTGACTTAAGAATCTTCAAACAATATGTTTATGAAAAAATGCCAAAGATTCTAAACTTTCTCATCTCGTGTCTGTTTTTCTTCATATTGTATCTTCCTGGGTTGCTATCTGGCAGAACCCGATTTCTGCATGGTTTGATTTACTTTGAGTTAATGAAGCTGGCTGGAAAAGAGCCTTGCAGAAATTATAAAAGCTCCAGTAAATCTCTTAGTTGTACATACAATAGATACCCAGGAACTTCTTTTGTTAAACCAGTTACTCAATCTTCTGTGTAAACAATGCCTCATTGTCTCCCTCTTGTCATCCAGTTTATCATAGTCTGTCATTTGGTAACGACCTAAGTCAGACATTTTTAAGCCGATGGATGTGTGAGATCTGATCAGTCACTGGAATGAAAACTCTCGGGAGCAAAATAACCCCTTATTTATTTAAATGTGGAAGGCAGACTTCATTGTTGTTCTTTTGCTATAGAATTTCAAAATGAAATAGTTTTCTCTACAAGAAGGCATCATTAGTTAGACTTACTTATTTCCTTTGTAGTTCAAATAGAATTCACATTAAATTCTGGGCACAAACTAGCTGGTGAGCAAGAGGAGGACAAGTCAACTTTTCACAAACTGTGTGTTGAAAGCAATTGCTAATTGATTAATTAGACATTGCATGTTAGAAAATGAATATTAGTTGGAAGTGACATGCTAAGCTTTATACAATGATTACAATTGTAGAAACTTAATCCTAACACAGTCTGTCTAATATTCCCCATGGAGGCCCAAGATCTCAAAGTACCAAACCCTATAATTTACTGTTATTCTGTCCATCTTAACTAAGCATCTATGTCACTGTGAGCAGAACTTCTGCACTTGGATGCTTGACAGCAAAAGTAGCATGAATTTCTATTCCCTGTTTCCACTATTTGATATACAGAGGATTATCTGTTCTAACCCAAGATCTTAGCAACTTGAGTATGATTGTTTTTTGTCTTCTGAGAACTTTCATATGTATGCTTTTCGGAAACACTTTGGGGCTTCTCTTTGGCATATCCGAATTGCCAGCATGACTGCTTGTGAGCTTTGACACCAGAATTGAGTAAAATACTGGTTATTGAGATACAATCATTGTAACACCACAGCGGTGAATCTGCAAACCGATGGCTACTGTAAAGACAGAAGGACCAAATGAAAGCAAAATTCTCACACTTCCAACAGCCCAGCCATGGCTAGTTGGAGCCTGGTTCCTTAGGGACCTATGACACCTTCTGCACATATCTAGAGCCTAACCCATAAATACCCTGGCACCTACACAAATGGCCATTCTCAAAAAAAGGCTTATGCTACAAAATTTACCACTTAGCCAGATACCAAGAGGTCCACCCATCACGTCAGATAGAAGTCAGCACAGAGGTTCCAAGATGAAACAACCAAGGAACTCCTGTAAGTGTGTTAAAATAACTCCTGCTCCCTCTCAGCGGCATGGCTTCCCCTCTCTGGAAACTCTCCCACTGCTTCCTTGGAATGTATTTCAATAAACTCTTTGTCTATTTGTGTCTTGGTAAATTCTTTTACCACCCACATCACTGTCATTCCTATCTGATTGGTATGTCAACCACTGCAGTATGGATCATCTGGACAAAGATTGAGTGGCATTCTGGATGGGTTGGCATACAAGGTGCAAGATGACATCTCATTATTTAGAGTGGTGTGAAATTTAAAAGTTAGAAATTTTTCTTTCCAGAACTTTTCCTTTAATGATTTTGGTCTGTGGCTCTCCTAGGACAACTAAAACCACAGAAATTTAAATCATAGACGAGGGATGGACTACTACCAGTAGAAACGTATGATACAGTCAAAAATGCATCTTGAACTTTGTAAATTAAAGACTCACAGTATTCTGATTAAAGATAAAAGTGGGAATATTAAAATTTTCCTAGTGTTCCTGGTTATTTTCTTAGCCCCATACATCCACTTCTAGCCCTGCCAAGATGCCTTAAAGGTGTCTAGACCTTAGCCAGTGAGAAACTAAGCATCATTCTCTCTCCCTGTCTTCAGGACCCTATTCACATTATCTTTCTAATTTCCTCTTTTTCTTACTAGCATTGGTGGCTCCAATCAAGGGGCTTCTCTCAGACATCCTGGTTTTTACTCTTTTACCTTTCCCCCTCATCTTCCAACCCATAAAATCTAGTAGAACAAGGGCTGGTGTGGTATCTACTTCTATGCTGATGGCCATCCCCCAAGTGAAGCCCTTACAAACACCCACATGTGGTGGTAATGGTGACACACTGCTGGTCTACTCTCCATTCAGATGATCTCTGTCACATGGGGTTACTTTCTCCAGTTTCTCCATAAGTAGATTTCTCCTTCAAACTACTCTAAGTTCTCCTGCTCTGATGATATTACCTTGGTCCCAGGGCTACATGAGATTCCACGTCCCATAGCACCATCATATGTGAGGACATCAGTTGATGAGATGGAGCATGCTGACTCACATCTCTCATAAAGCCACAATTGATATCATAGGGAGCCCACCCTCACCAACCAGTCTTATCCTAATTACCTTCTAAATTCCCTACCTTCAATGCCTAATCCAAAATTTGAAAATTAAGGTTCTAAGAGTCCCAGATATACACCAAAGCATGGAAAGATATTTCTTCCATTGTTTCAGGTTAGAGTTCCCAAAAGCTTTGATCCCACTATGCCAGCCTAGATGACTCCTACAAGATGTGCAGAAATACATACCTAATGATCCAACCATAAACAATGTTGTTCTGTGACTTCTATGTGCTGCTGTTGGAACACAGCAGTAAGCTGCATAGGTTAGTGTGATCCATTTTGGACAATAATTTGTTTCATGAAGTCAAAATCTTAACCCTGTCTATGTCAACCATCAACTTTTAAATTAAACATTGTTATATTTGGAGATGTTATTACCTATCAAAGAAAAATACAATATTTGTGAACTGTAAAATCACCTGTTTTATTTTTTTTCTTAGAATTATTTAACATTGATCACTGAAAATACTTAGGCAAAACAATGAACATTCCCTTGGTAAAGCCTGATATCAATTAGTTTCAAGCAGTGCCCTGACATGCTCAGATTGAACTTTCCTAAGAATTTCATTCTAATTGAAGTGGGTAGTTTAGTAATTAGTGATGCTGAGAGAAGAGGCCTAAGCCATTTGTAGTGTTTCTAGCATAAATTAATGATGTCCTAGACTTTTAAATCATTGTATAGTAAATGAAAATTGGAAGTCAAATTGGGAGGTTGGAAGAATGAGCAGAAATTGGCAGTGCTGGGCTAGAGGGAAGACAGTGAACAGAGTCAAGAGTGGATAACTGATCCAAGCAAATAGAATGCTGGTATTTCATAGTCTTGCTTTCTCCAGGTATGGAAGGTGATGTTGCCTTTTGCTGCAGAGAGAAGTAGAGAAGCATGTGTAAGAGCAAGCTCTATGGGAGCCACGGAGGAACTGTGGGAGTCAGTATTGAGTCCAAGGGGCCTGAGAGTCTCAGAGGAGAATGACAGAGAGGTAACACTCTTATTGCACTGTTGCATGCATACACCATCCAACCCACACAAGAAATAAAATTTAAAAAAATGGGAAAGTGATAGAGGAAGATATCCACTATTGACCTCTGGTCTCTAAACATACATGCACACATGTGCCTACACACCTGAATATGTGCACACATGTACATAAACAGAGAGCTGAATGGCATGGTAAGTCTTGAAGGACACTGATAGTGGATTCAGTGGGTGGGAGGAATGTAAAGCAGACTTGGATTGAGGAGAAAACCTAGAACAACAGAGTACCATCTGAATGGAGGCAACTCTTGAAAAGTCCTAGGCAAAAGAGAAAGAAGGCAATAATTAGAAATCAAAGATGATTTGATTAAGGAAAAAATGTAGCTGTGTCATAAACACTCTATCCACTTATTAGCAACAAAGAATTCTTCATAGTTATGAGGCAAAGTTAATCATGCTCGTTATTGTAAATGATCCTCTGTCACAACTCACCTCCCTTTGATGTAATGGAACACTTAGGAAGACAGAACAGTTGAAAAATACCTTCTGAAAATAAGTTGAGTAGTTAATTGATGATTAAATAAAAGCTGGCATTTGAGAGGAATGGCTTAAACCAGGCTGCTTCTTTGCATAAAGCTGGAATCATTCTTTGGCATCTTAATGTAATTATTTACCTGGGGATAATGGACATTCCAGGACATACAATGTTAATGTTTTACTGACCTAAACCAGTGTCAGGTAATAAGTGCTTTAGAGCTTAATAGCTGTTTTAATAATAATGATAGTGATAATAAAAGCATTAAACTAAAGCCAATCGTGAGTATTTGAATCATGAAAACAGAGAACCAATCATGTATTTTTTACATGCATATGTATTCCCAATAGCCAGTGCAAATGCAACTTTAAACACATCTAAATCTTTTGTGAAGGTTGGGGGTCATTTTAAACAACAAATCAGATAGTTCTTATACAATTATACTGAGTCTTAATATTCAGTTCTCATTTCAACTCATATCAGTGTTCATTTTTAAAAGACATTTGCTATCAGGTAAAGTGGAGTCCCAGGATTGTGCACCTGCTGAAATGCCAAAAGGTTACTTTATGCAGACGACTGATGCAGCTCAATGGAAGAGCACTTGCTTAACAGGCCCAAGGCCCTGGGCTCCATCCTCAGTACTTGGGCTGGGAATATAGCTTAATGTTGCTTTATAGGAGCAAACCAGTTCATCAAACTCTCAGGATCCCAAGTATTCCAGAATGTTTTAGGTTTTCTTACAGGTTGTATTTATTGTCTTTCAGCATGGCATCTCTGAAACTCAGTCTCCCACGTGTGTGATTCATTTCTTCTTTTCCCCCTTACTGCACTACTAAGGTTTATACATTGACAAGGCTATTAAAGCTTTTTGAGTACCTAATGAAGGTTATGTAGTACTTTTCTTCCACAGTGTATTAGTTACTTTTCTGTTGCTGTAATAAAACACCACAACCAAGGTAACATATGGAAGGAAGAGTTTATTTGGCTTATAGTTTGGGAGGGAAAAAGAGTTCATCGTGGTGGGCAGGCATGGCAGGAGGGGGTAGGAGGCAGCCGGAGCAGAAAGCTGGCATCCTCAAGCAGGCATAGGAATCAGAGCAACTGTCCCACTAAATTTTCTCCTTCCTTCTCTCTGTTTGACCCGCCCTCACTCTCTTCAGGGTCTCTTGTGCTCCAGGCGCTATTAGACAAATCATATAACATATCTTTATCTTAATTTTTCATTTTGTATCTTGGGTAGGAGAGAAATGGTGTAACTTACAAAGGTGAACACCCGGAGCCCTGTTACACTCTGGCTCAGAGCCCCGCCCGCCCAGATCACTTCCATGCCTCACCATAGTCACCATTAGCTTTCCATCGGTAAATGCCCCCTCTCACGTCCATTTGGGCAGGACACTGGGGCCATTCTTTGTCTTGCGTGCCTGGCTGCGCCTGCTTCAGTCCAAGATGGTGTCAAAAGCCCCTCCCTCCGTGGCTAACTCTCCATAATCAATTCTCTGCAGCAGGCCCTGCCCCTCAAGAGGAGCCAGGTCCTTTGGGTACACAGCAACAGACTGGAAGTGGGCATGGCTATGGTCTCTCAAAGCCCACCACTCAGTGACATGCTTCCTCCAGCAAGTCTGAACCTCCTAAAACCTCCCAAAATAGTGGCATCAACTAGGACAAAAATGTTCAAATATTGAGAACTTATGGTGGATAGTTATTCAAACTACCACACATAGGAAGCGATAGATTACACAGAACAGATAGGCAGATACAAGTACATATACGTACACACAACACACCTCTTTATGCATATGCACTCATAATTTTTATAGTTCCATGTATTTCCAAATCAAAATGAATATAAGATCACAAAATCTGAGAAATCTAGATTTCAGGAGAATATTCAGTTTGTCTTTCAAACCTCCATAACAGCTTAGATTTACTGGCCTGCTCGATGCCAGAATTCAATGCATCATTATTCAACCTAACCTCTCTGGGATAATCTTATGATACTCTTTAGCTGGCTAATTCTGATATTTCAGCATTTCCTCCTTTTAGTTCATGAGCAAGAAAGTCATGTTCCCCATTTATTCCCATTAATAGATCCAAACAACTGGCTGGAAAAGTAAAAAACAAAACAAAACATATGGCATTTTCTTGACTGCATAACTGATAGAGTGTGGATCCACTATGTGAGCAGGGATCCAGTATGTGAGCTGGGATCATAGTGATGCTAAATGTTTACTCGGTTTAGTTTGTTTAACCCCTCCCGCATAAGGCCTGTAAATATTATCAGGAGCAAGTAGTTGTTTTTGCACTGGTAATTGTGCTGGTGTGTTGAGCCACATGCATTTTATGAACATTGCATTTTGGGCTCAGTCTGGGTGCAGACACGGGGTTTCTGGATTAGGAGCTGTTACAACAAGTGGAAGATGGAATAGCAGTGGCTGGGATCCCATTTTCTGTGCAGGCAGAGAGCAGAGGGCATAGCTAAATT